ATGGTAAAGCTTTTAGAAAAGCTTTGCAATTATTTTTATGGACTGTATTCGTAAATATTTTTTCCCTCCCTAGGCTTAATTCCAATGCACAGTTATATGGAACTTGCTTGTCTTTCCCTTGCCCCGTTGGCTGTGACCTTTTACCCACTCAGAAAGTAATTAGTACATTTTCCAGCAGATAGTTGGATGATTTCGTGCTTTCTTATTGTGAGAAAACATTGTAACAGACCACTTCGGCAAACAGTCTAATGTGCTGCTCTTTCAAGCCCCTTTATAGTGAATGAATACAAAAGTACAAGAATGTCAAAAAATGGAATGAATCAAGAATCGTGATAACAATGAGATGAACAGCCACTTATAAAGCAGGAATTCTCTTATAGACTGAATTGGGAAGTTTTATTAAAATGCAACACAACCATCATGATATAAGTCACTTTGAGATTTTTGGCTGCGTGTGAGAAGATAAGGCTTGAGTTCCAGTACTAATTAGGCATTGCACACATTGTGAGCATTAATAATTTCCACCACAGTAGCTTCAGCCTACAAGATATTTTGCAAACAAATTGCAGAAACATGGTGTAGACAATGTAAGCACCCAAAAGCACATACAGCACACACAGCACACAAGAAATTATGAAAAATAGAGGGGACGGAAAAGTAACAGCAGAGACACAGGTCCAGTCCAAAATTGTGAGGCCGATATTACTACGGTTTTGCTTCCAAGCTCAGGAATGGGACCGCATCGCCTAGCATTCTGTGTTAATGCAGTTCTCACTGATTAAAACCCTTTTGCTACCCATGACATACCTACCTTACCGAGATTTTTGCCTTCAAAGTGATTTTCACTGCCTCCATGCAAGTGATGTATTATATAGCTATGTTAGGCATTTCAGCTTCTTTTATACGATAAACAGAGAGAGCTATTGCAATAGCACTTCAGAGTATTTAAAAGTCCCTTCCCACCAGTTAACTTAATGGCAGGAGTCATCAAGTGGCCCCCTCATGCATGTTCTTAGTGTGCAATTGAGTTGCATGGCTAATGGTGGAGCTAGACGAGCCCTCTCTGCGTAGTAGTTCCAAAAAAGAGGAAGGCTGTATACCAACAGGGATGTCTGCTCCCTGCTTTTGTCTCCAGTTCTCAAACTTGAGCCAGCATGCATTGCAGCAACAGGAGAATAAAAAGAAATGAGAAGAAAAGGCAAAGCCTATACGTACGATGCCGCAAAATAAAATGAAGTTTGCATGTCCAAGGATTCACTGATTAATTCATTGCTTGGATTTTCTCCTAAACAAGTTATGCTGGGTTGATCCAGGACTAAGCTAGCTAAAAGAAAATGTCACCATTCGAAGCATAGTCCTAATCAAATATCCCAAAGTTTCCCTTAACTGTGAAGTTGAGCTGCAAGATTTCAGAATTTGCCTATGCTTACACAGGTCAAATGAAGTGATGACAAACAAAGAGGCACCAGAAAACATCCTTACCCCTGTTTCCCAGCTGAAGAAACTGGAAGACATAAAAGTCATAATTATCCTGTTTTAAGTGAGCGGAAGCACAGCCAGGAACATACTGTGGGCTTCTAGGCTCCAAAATAGCGATAGAAAACAACTGTTCATCTTTTACCAGGAATTTTACAGCTGCTTTCGGCATCAGGTTGACATTCTCAGTTATTTTTTTCATTCAGGTCCCCTCTTGCAGCTGCATCCACAGAAGCAGTTCCCCACTGCAGACAGAAGCACTGGTCCTGCCTACGGCAACTCTTGAAGTGCCTTTAATTAGTTAGCCCAGGCACCTTTGCTAATTGACAGAGAAAAGTAGGCACTTGAAAGGTACAAGACTTTTGGCTTTTGCCACTGACCTTAGGATAAGATGAGCTGAGCCCCGCAGGCTCTTGTTTCTCTCCATTGACTATAAAGGGGGTGGAGAGTGTCTAGGTTATTAGATGTGGAGAAGGCTTCCACCGTTGACCAGACAAATCCATCCCTGGCCTCAGACTGCTCTACAGACTGCTTTATGGTACAACGGTTGACTTCTGTGCAAGTTGGTCTATGAAGACAAACACTGCTGTCATAAATTATGCCAAGAGTGCATTACACGGTTCCTTTTAGTAATTTTTTTAAGTCTAAATACATAAAACTGTAGCAACTGTTTCACAGTTTTTCAAAAATATAAAAAAAAATTTTGACACTGGGGAGGGGTTTCCTCTCATGGGCTTTCGAATCTGCCTCTGAAACAGTCTTTATAGGTGCCTTTTAGATTCAACAGAGAGAAAATGGGCACTTCACTCATGCTATTCATTTCACCCTACAGTAGACATCCATAATAGGTTAGATGAATTGCACATTACAAATGTGTGTTTCTTTCCAGTGACAAAGGGATGTAGGGTTCAGATGTAGACAGCTACAGTGCAGATGTCTGAGGCTGAGTGAGATGAATCTCATTCCAGGTCTCAAAAGGGCTGAAAGAGCTTGGGAACAGTATCCTGTTTCCAAAGAGTTTTTGAGTAAAAACTCAGTTCCAAATGGCTATACTTCTTTCCAGAAATTGACTGGATGAAGGCAGGTTTGTTCTGCAGCTTTTTTTTTTTTCTTCTCACTGAGCTACCATTGTGAGAATTAGTGATGTTCCAGTTCAGACTCTCTCCCTCCCTATCATCCCTCCCCGTTACGTCCTCCAGCTCTTACTTCATTGCAAAGTTATCTTTAAGCTTGTGTAAGGAACTATACATCCTTTTTGGTACAGAAAATAGCTGTGGTGAATTCAAAACCCCTCAGAATGTGAAGGTTACACGTATTGCAATAATTGTCAGAAAAATGCTTTGCTCCCCTCCCCCCGCCCAAAATATATTCCTGTGGAGTGATCTAATTTTTATGCTAAGGCTTATTTGCAGATTTTTTTACTAATATGAAGTTGTTTAAAATCAAATTATGAATGCCTTGGAGAGATGAGAAAGTATTTGTTTCACTTAGCCTTGATACACAATATTAAAATTGTACATTACTACAGAGCTTTTAAAGTCAACTATTGAATTATATGTTAGTACTGGTTATTACAACTCAGTATCCCTATTACACATCTAATATTGGTAAGCCTTTAGCTTCAACAAGCTGTGACAGTGAGATCCAAAACATAACCGTGAAATATACGGCGGCTTTGAATGCTATGCATTGTGCAGAATCTCTCCATGAGTAGATCTCGTTGCTGTGCTACAAGCGCAAAGAGGACCCAGCTCCTCACCCATTCGTTGTGTGTATACTTCCACTATCTCTTCCTTTTTGCCTTCTTTACCCCATGGTGAATAAATGTCATCAAGCCAGCTGGTGCTTCCATGTCTGTGCACAGCTTTTCCACAGGTGCCACTAAATTCTCTTGAATATGCTCCAGCTCATTCCCCAAATAAAACCCTGAGATCCAAGTATCTTTTTTTGATTATAACCAAGTAGTGGTTACAATATAACGATATTATAACCAAATTACTATATGAGCCAAATGCCTTACCTGAGCTGTCAAAAAAACGAAAAAAGAAAAAAAAACCTCCCCAAATGTAAAACCTTGACTCCCTTTTCTGAGCTGATACAGTTGATTTAAATGCCTTTAATTTCATGAGCGCATAGAGCTATAGGGAGCTCAACACTCCATATGCATCCATGCTGGCTGTGGCAGTGAGAAAGGAGAAGTGAGCAAATACTAGACTCGTTGAGAGGACAAGCTTTGGAGAAAGTGGTGAAAAAAGGTTTTGTATCCAGGCAGACTTTACACTGCTCGATTCCCACTACATCTCTCCCAGTTCCTGGGAAGCTTCTTTTTATCCTTCTACTTTAGCTGTAGGTTTACAGGCAGCCACGTTCAAAAGAGAAGCCTCATAATACAGGGGAATCAAACGTTTGTGGAAGGCATCAGATCTCTCAACTCCTTTTGGTACCCAAATGATTTCTTCTCTAAGCAAAGGTGTTGTTCCTTCATTTGTATCGTTTATTATTAACATGTGGTATTTGATTAAGATCATGAAACTGAAGTCATAGTAAAAAATGACTCCTACAGGATGTGAGGACTCCTCCTCCAGCACTTTTTGTGAACGCTCTCATCTTAAGGGTTTATCATAAATTAGATCCCATTACTGAGTTTTCAGAGGTTATAAATATGAAAGGGATTTTTTTCCCCCTTCAACTTTTCCATCATAAAATGGAAGGTGACTAGTAGAAAAGTGTCGTCTTCTTCCCATCGCAGACAACTAAGCTAATTAAAAAATCAAACTAATTGGCCCTACCTGTTAAAAAAGTTAGTGACAACAGGCCAGAGCTTCCCCTTGCTAACACTTGTCATTCCATGTAGCTCTGTGGGCACTGGTGGAATGACTCCACATTGCACCCACATAAATAAAAGCACTTTTGGCCCAATAACCACAGATTTACAAAGGTCAATGTACAGCAATGGCATCAGTAGCTCCTAAAGAAACAAATATTTTAAGTGCAGTGCCTAACTCCTGAGTAATTTTAACACATTTGCGCTGCTCACCAAATGCCACATTGTCATGTTTACAAAAATATGAATGCTTTCATGTGGGTCTAGAAAAGTAATATTTACAGTACAAAGTTTATCTACTTATATAAAAGTGTCTGTCCTCAGTTTTCCTGTTGGTCTAACATAGAATTATCTAAGATGACTTCTACTTTTGCACACAAAATTACAGAATTAAGCTAGTGAACTATTTCTTTGAGTATTATTAGCAAATTGTGTGTGTGTGTGTGTGTGTGTGTGTGTGTGTGTGTGTGTGTGTGACTAAAGGTTGTTTAGTGCCATCTTTTGGGTGGTCCTAATACTACAGAACAGCTTAATCAAACCTATTACACATTTGCCATCATTCACGTGGCTAGGAAGCCATGAGTTACTAGTTCCCTAAACTTGCTTCTAGGGAGTTTGGGGGTTCTATCCTAGATTACAACTCTCCACAAGTTTTTCCTTTCTAACGTGTATGAGCTCTCTAAAGAACAAATGGGCAGAGATGAAGGGGGCTGCGCTGGTTTCAGGCTGTGCTAGTCGGGATGCAGGAGCAGGGACGCTGTTTGCCACTGTGGGACCAACCTGGCAGAATCAGTGGAACGAAGGCAAGGAGGTACAACCGGTGACAGCAGGTGTCATCACACCATGGAGGCAGACTGATGCTCGACAGCCGGGTGAGAAAACAGACGTTTAGGCCTCTTGCTTGGCGCAGGGCTGTTGTGGAGCTGCTGGGGGTGGGAGGTGCCTGTATCAATCTCGTACCAACTTTGAGAATTGAAGGGAAAATGGGTCAGAGGAGACTTGCCCGCAGTAGCTCTTTGAAATAGGCCAGATACTGCAGTTTCTACAAGCTCCTTCAAAGCACTCCTATAGTGCAGGAGTATATGTGCATCTTCATAAAATCAATCAAATTTCACCCTCTGCTTATGCTGTTCAGTTCATGGTAACTGCAAATTACCTTGATAGGCAGCAGACACCTATGTAACAGCTCAGGACTCCTGCATTTTTATTTTTTTTAGTTTTGCAGGGGAAATTTTTTAAAAAGGTATGTGCCTTTAATTATGAGATTTCAGTTTTCTTCCAGCATCAAAATGCTTCCAGCCATCCCCACAGCCACAGTTAAGTGAAGACCGTACACGGCTGAGTGGCAGTAGTCAGATGACAAAGAAACTCCATGTGAGGATGAATTGCTGGGAGTGTTTCCATGCTGCATAAAGAAATCCCCCAGCCCTTTCTTAGCACACAAATCCCCAGCAGCAAAATATTCTCCTATTTAGAAACACTGTTTTTTTTCCAACTTTGGCCAATATTCATGCTATTTTATAAGATAATCATCTATGTATCCCAGTCACGCCAAATTTCTTTCTTCTGACTCCTAAGACCCAACAGTAAACTCATTAAATTAATTGTTTGTATTCTGTCTTTATTCCGTATTCCTTGCTAGCTCTAAAAAAGATCATCTGTCAAAAACAAAAAAAAAAACCCAAGCATCCAAAAATCCAACTTAACACCTACACTGATGCCATAGAATTAAAAACGTACATGAAACGCTACACCCATGGTACCTGGTACATGGTAACTAATAAACCAAATCTAGCCATAAACCCCTGCATTTTCCACAGATGGTCTAAAATAGGATTAGATGACAATGTCCCTTTGAAAAGGTCGATGGTCAACTGTTTTCATCTTAGGCAAGAACAAATTCAGTGTAGTGAAGTAGGTAACGCTTTCAGCAGGGTTTCCTTTTCCCTTAATGAGATGAGAGGCCTTTCTACCCCTTATCCCATTCTACCCCGGGACAAACAAGCTATTTCCCATAGCAAAGCCTAATTTCACCTGTGACAGGGAGAGTACAGGGCTTGGAGGTAGCTGGGCTTTGGATATCCCCTTGCCAGCAATATAGGCCCAAAAAAAGCAGGTCAAGGTTCGTACTGTGCTCCCTGACTCATGGTCCCAGAGACAGCGCAGACAGAGCCAAAGGAATTACTCATGTGTGGAACAGCATTTATTGTAGATATTTACAGCATTTGGCCTTGAAGTCTAGAGCACCGGCTGATCCTTTTTTGCTAGCTGTTAGGCTTGAAATGACATATGCACACACTGCAAAATTTTGGACAAGGCAGCCTCCCCAACAAAATGCTGATGTCTGCAATTAAACTTACGTCTGTGTGGAAATGTTCCCCAGGCACCACTTCCTAGTCCAAGTGCTTGTTGGAGGCTTTTTGGAGGTGTCAGAAGGTTTGCATTCCCCTACTCTTGGATAATCAAACACTGCTCGCAAGCTTGTTCGGATGTTGAAATGAGCCCAAGCAGGGAGTTTACGCATGTACGGTTTGTAGCATTTTAGGGACATCAGTCTGGAAGGTACTTCCTTCATCGGTGTCTCCATTCCTCTGCTGTGGTGGGAGATAGATACGTGTAATTCAGTTCAGAAATTCATCAAGTTCAGTTTTACAGCCATTGTGCCCTTTGTCCCCATCCCTCCTGTTGGAAAGCAGGTCTACCCACGTGCACCTACAGCAGGCCTTACGATGAAACTGCACCTGTGAGAGGCCACACAGGCTATGGATGCGGCAGTCTCCAACATCAATAATGTGGTCTCTTTTCATTGGCACTAATAATTAAATGCCTGGCTTGTGAACAACCACCATTTGTACTGCTCACAGCTAGAGATTTTGGTACTTCTCACAGACATAAAAATGTACAATCAAACGATCTAATGGGAGTTAAACGCACAACGTATTTCCATAGTTCTTTGCAGAATTGGAGTAATCAAGAAGAATTGCACTGTGCTAAGAAAGCGGCAGGTGTGTGCCGGCACGCTGCTGTAGACGGAAGCTAAGAAGAGACTTCCAGCCACACAGATCAAAGCCCTCCAACGCAAAAGAGATGCTCAAATGACATGAAGTCAATGGGCCTCTGTTCAAGCGCAGCTGTCCGCCAATATGTGAAAAATACTGTGGGACTGGGGCCACAGAGAGTAACATAAAGCAAGAAATGCTGGCAGTTTTAGCAGCCGATGCCCTCACCTTAACTGACTTTTGCTTTTCTGTCCTCCCTGAAGCAAACAGCACAAGTTAATGTTGTCATTTCTTACAGTTTCCGAGCTTTTAGTGTCTTATGTCATAGCTTGAGTGTTTATAGTTTTTCAGCTTGCTTCTGATACTATGTTTGAGTTTGAATTCTTTTGAAAAGGTAAAAAGAGAACATTTTTCTTGGAGAGCCTTGAAATCCACATTAATAAAGCTGGCAGGGCCCTCTCAGTTAAATTTGGTTTCACTTTTTTGTCTTATTAGCAATTTCTTTACACAACCTATTTTAGCTCATGTATTTACCGTATAAAGCAATGACAGCTCAGTTGGCATCACTAGAATTATATAAATGTATGGTTTTATAAAGTGGAATTTTTTTACCTCTCTGTTTGCTAAAATACCTTGATGATGCTTTGGGTTTAAAAGGTGTGTTACGTGTGACAGCTGCGCGTATTTGCGCTGTAGCTAGGATTTTTATACTACACCCAGTTCATAAATGTTATTGAGCAACAACCTGTGAGATTTTTAAATAATCAAGAAAGAAAATGTTGGTGAGAGAAGCAGCACAGAAAAACACTGATTTTCTTCTTTCCAGCTGATTAGGAATTGTGCTGTTCTACTTTGTAAGTGTACGAACAAGTCCAGGCTCAGAAGGAGCCCTCCTATGGGACCTTGGAGGTCTCAGGGAAGGGGTTTCCCTAGCTGCTTTCCCTTATGCCTTTGAAGCCACACAGTATGTAACCAGACCTTGGGATGTCAGCCTCAGAAGCCCAAAAGGTCTCCTCCAGTCCATGTTCCTCATTAACTCCCATGGGATTATCCCGGGCTGCCCCTGGACCAGCCCAGCGCCGCCCTGCTCTTGCCAATGCACCACTGAAGAGCAGCCCATCAGCGGCCACATGACTTCGGCCAGCAGCTCTACCGAGCCCAGAACAGCCTGGATCGGCCACAGGCAGCTGGAGGAGACTCTCGCGCCTCTTCACCCACTTGCATTGCACAAGGGGCATGCAGATGTCCCTCTGCCCAGGCTTCAGCATGCAGCTGAGGCAAGCAGAGGCGACTGCAACCCAAAGAATTTGGGGTTGCCTCAGCTGTACTCCCTGCGGATCCTAGGGAGCCGGCGGCCAAACTAGGCATCAGACCCAGGCCCCTTTCACAACAGGAGAGGGCATTGCCAGCGGATAAGGGTAGACGATGCCTGCCTTCCAGCTTTGCCCGGCTTATGATCAGAAATGACGGCTGAGTTTGTGCAAGCAATAAAATTACTTATTCTGCTAAAAAAAATGATCCCATGTGAAACTAAGATGCATTTTTCTGTCTGCAATATTTTAATCACATATTTAGATATATTTTGAATTAAAACTTATAATCCTCTAAATAAACAGAAGGTGGAACTCAACAATAAGAGAATGAGTCAAGATACTGAGATTAATTGGTAGATATAATAATATCGGGAAAAGCTTTCCCCATGCCTACTTTACCCCTTCCCTCTCTTCTTAGGCCCACATATTCCTAGAAGACTTGAGACATTTCAAAACCTGTGATTTTTTTTCCTTGATCAACCTTAATCATATACCCGAACCTCTACTTTTGCCTTAAGTATAGCTTTTAACTTTAAAGCATGCATTTGGCAATCTGAACCATTCAGTCAAATATACTGTGACTTCCCCATGACGCTCACGGAAATAAGACTGAATGAAAAGGTTTCATGAACATCCCATGCTCCCCGATTTTAGTTCTTTATCACCCAACACAGTAACATATCTTGTGCCACCCTATGCAAAAAAGAGTTGGTGGAATAACGAAGGCCGCACATCAACAGGGGTCCCAAGCACCTCTTGCAAATGTGTTCACATGCTTAACTTCATATCCACTGGAAATCAAAGAGCCTGTCTACACCACAACAGCGAAGGCTTTGCATAAGGGTTTGCGTATTAAAGCCAAGAGGAGAAATTTAGCGATGCTAAATGGAAGTTAAAAAAGAAGGTTTGGCTGACTGGCTTTTTGGTTTTTG